GATGTTCTGTGAAGAGCGTAAATCCAGGCCCCCTGACACTGTCAGGGTGCACGAAGGCGATCTTGTTCGCTTCCTTGAAGCCGAGGCCTTGTTCGGGAGTTCCGGACACAGCGTCTTTCACGCCGGGGGGCTTTGCCGCCAGGTCCCGTTGAAGAGCTTCCGGCTGAGAACAAGTGCTTTGGTTGTCCATCGCTGAATATCGGTGGCACCCCAACATCGCCCCCCTCCCCCAATGGGCGTCGCCCCCCCAGGGGCGACGCGCGCACCGAGAACTCTCAACAGTATATGGGTGGGAAACGATACACTACAATATGTGTATACTAAATGTTCGGGTCGGACGCGCGCCTCCAAGGGGGACATAGTATTAGTATGTCTCTGCGAGGCGAAAGCTTCTTCAGGTTGGTTAATCATTTCATGATGTTCTTGTTCATGATCTTCGTGTACATTTTGTTAAAAGGAAGCCGTGAGATCCTGGCGGGCCGACGATGTACTTCTGGCCATGGCTAAGGTCCGTTGGGCGGATCTGTTAAGGTAGGTGTGTTTATGTGTAAGCTGGCCGGCCGCCAGAGAGGGAGGCCCAGCGCGCGCTTTTACCTTTAAGCAGATAGTGGCGACGGAGTTTGCCCAGTCCCTCCGCGTTCCTGACCCTGCCAACCTTTAGTCGAAGGGAATAGACAGGGTAGCTTAAACGAGCGCGAGGAGCGTTCGCAATGACTAGGAGGAGGAGGAAGAAGACGACGAATAATACGAGTAATCATAACAATAAGAAGACGAATAATAAGATGGAAGAAACTACCACTAATACTATTCAGAAGAAGACGGCGAATACGAATCATATTACTAATCATCGTAAGCCGAATCATAACAATAATACAACGAATGATACTAAGTAGAAGAAAACGCATACTATTACTAATGTTCATCAGACGAATAAGACGAATCCAAGAAGACGATAGCTAATACATTTTGATCAATATGAATAACCCAAGGCATAAACATACTAGGACTGATAACACTGACACGAACACACTACTAGCACTGGTAATAATACTACTGTTACGACTAAAAGATGAGTAGTACGACTACGAAAACGAAACATACTAATTCCACACATCGCAATCGGTCGAATAATCAGAATATTAAGAATAAGAAGAATAATGTGACTACTACGACTCAACACAATTGTACTACTACTACTACTATTACTACTACTACTACTACTACTACTACTACTACTACTACTACTACTACTACTACTACTACTACTACTACTACTACTTCTACTACTACTACTACTACTACTACTACTACTACTACTACTACTACTACTACTACTACTACTACTACTACTACTACGACTACTACTACTACTACTACTACTACTACTACTAAAATAACTACTACTACTACTTTACTACTACTACTAACTACTACTACGACTACAACTACTACTACTACTACTACTAACTACTACTACTACTACTACTACCACTACTACTACTACTTACACTACTACTACCTACCTACCTACCTACCTACCTACCTACCTACCTACCTACCTACCTACCTACCTACCTACCTACTACTACTACTGCTACTACTGCTACTAATTTTACTACTAATACCACTTCAATCTTCATGCTGACAGTGCATATGAGAAACGGAGAAGGAGGATAACGAGGAGGAGGAGGAGGAGGAGGAGGAACATGGGGAGCAGGATGAGGAGGAGGAAGGAGCAGGATGAGGAGGAAGAGGAGGCGGAGGAGGAGGAGGAGGAAGAGGAGGCGGAGGAGGAGGAGGAGGAGGACGAGGGGAGGAGGAGGGAGGGATAAGGAGAAGGATGGAGGAAAAGAGGGGGAGAAGGAGGGAGGAGGAGGAGGAGGAGGAGGAGGAGGAGGAGGAGAGAGGAAGCGGAGAGAGGCGGAGGAGGAGGAGGAGGAGGAGGAGGAGGAGGAGGAGGAAGGATGATGGAGGATGGAGGATGGAGGATGAAGGATATGGAAGATGGAGGATGGAGGATGAAGGATGGATAATGGAGGATGGAGGAGGAGGAGGCGGAGGAGGAGGAGGAGGATGAGGAGTAGGAGGAGGCGGAGACGGAGGAGGAGGAGGAAGAGGAGGAGGAGGAGGAGGAAAAGGAGGAGGAAGAGGAGGAGAGAGAGAGAGAATTCGAGAGATCAGGAGGTCGGATGACGAATGGGGAATGGGGGAGGGGGGAATGAGGAGGGGTCCTCGCTAGCGTCGTCGTCCCGCTCCTCCTCGAGACGCCCAGGCCCTGGTCTCCAACTTCTCCCAGCGGACCAGGGAACCCGGGCCACGCTGCCGCCGCCTCCGCGCGAGGGCAAGGCGTGGGCCGGGGGGTGGGGGGTGGAGATGGGGCAGCTTGGGGCTTCCCCTTTCCTTCTCCTCCTTCCCTCGTCTTCCCTCCTACCTCCTGCTCCCCTTCCCCGTTCCCGTCTCCTCACGAGTCATTCCTCTCCGTTTCGGCTGCAGACGTCACGATGCTGTAGGCCAGGCGTTCCGCCCGAGATCTCTTCACAGTCTTGGGCACTGATGTTGGAAGTGTCCAGCCACAGCTCGGAGTGAAGGGTGGGTCGTTTTCATAATGTTTCTTTCGCTGCAGCGCCGCGCGCATCCACTGACATCATGCGGCAGTTGCACAGAGAGAGAGACGGAGCAGCTCTTGAAGTATGGCTAAGTTGTCAACCGCTGCGCGGGTTTCGACAGCCACGCCAACACCATTAGCCTGCCGCACTCTACGGCGCTGTCTACACAGCTGCCCCAGGAGCGGTGGCAGACCTGGACCCCGACGTCGTGACTTTTTCGCGACTTGGGCGCCCTGGGAGGCCTCAACATCCTCAGGCTCCTCCCCATCCTCTGCCTCCTTCTCCCCATCCTCCCCCTCCCCATCCTCTGCCTCCTCCTTCCCATCCTCCTGCTGCTGCTGCTGCTCCTCCTCCTCCTCCTGCTCCTGCTCCATCCTCCTCAACATCTGCTGATGATGATGCTGCTGATGCTGCTGCTGATGATGATGCTGATGAGGATGATGATGATGCTGATGCTGCTGTGGATGATGATGCTCATCATGATCATGATGATGATGCTGTTGATGTTGTTGTTGAGGATGATGATGATGATGATAGTGATGATGATGCTGATGCTGATGATGTTGTTGATGATGATGATGATGATGATGATGCTGTTGCCAATGATGATAATGATGATAATAATGATGATGATGCTGATGATGATGATGATGATGGTGCTGCTGCTGTTGATGATGATGATGATGAGGATCTGATGCTGATGATGATGATGTTGTTGACGATGACGATGACGATGATGATGATGATGATGATGATGATGATGATGATGATGATGATGATGATGATGATGAGATGATGGATGATGATGATGATGATGATGAGGATGATGATGCTGATGATGATGATGATGATGACGAGTGATGATGATGCTGATGATGATGATGATGATGCTGATGCTGATCCTGATGATGATGATGAGGAGGCGGAGGAGGAGAGGAGGAAGGAAGAGAGGAGGGAGGAGGAGGAGGGAGGGAGGAGGTAGGGAGGATGGAGGATGAGGATGAGGAGGAGGAAGAGGAGAGGAGGAATTGGAGGAAGAGGAGGAGCAGGAGCAGAAAGAGGGAGGAAGAAGAAGAGGAGGAGGCGGCAGGAGGAGGAGAAAGGAGGAGGAAGGAGGAGGGGAGGAGGAGGAGAGGAGGAGGAGAGGAGGGAACTCGGGAGGGGGTCATCGGGGGGCGCGCCGCTCGCGCCAGGAGCTGGACGTCGGCCTAGTGCGGCTCAGCCGTGGCATCTCGGCGCAGGAGCTCCGCCGCGGGGGGGGGCCTTCCGGGTACTGGCCGCGCGGTGGCGTCGGGCGCCTCGTGTTTTTTCTCCTGTGTCCCTAGGCGGAATTCTTGTTATTAGTGTGATGCCTCCTCCTCCTCCTCCTCCTCCTCCTCCTCCTCCTCCTCCTCCTCCTCCTCCTCCTTCCTCCTCTTCCTCTCAGGGGCCCCCAAACGGTGTTGTGACCCCACCCCGTGGTGAGTCAGTGGGGATTCGGGGTCACCGCACGGTCTTGGGACTCAGGCCGTTCTCCGGGGATGTCTCGGGCGACCGGGGCCTCCAGGGTCCCAAAGACGTGCGTTGACGGACTGTGCGGTGAGGTCGTTGGGGATTCCGAGGTCACTTCGCGGTCAGGCACCACACGGTCTTTGGGCCCCGAATCTTTCTCCTTTCCACTCCTTTCTCCCGCTTGCACTCAGCCAAATGTTTACACTTGGACCCACACACTCAGACACACGCACACTAAGACTTACGCACACTCAGTCAGACTCACTGGTACACAGACTCACTTATACCCAGTCTCACTGATGCTCAGACCCATGCATAATCAGACTCAGACTCCTCTCGCACTCAGACTCACTCACACTCAGTCGCTCACTCTCCTACCCCGCTTTTTCACCACTTCGATGTAGCAGTCGTAAAATTTGAGCTCCCCAAGGAGGAGCCGCATGGTCCCGATATCACTGTGGCGTCGCAGTCGTAACACTTGGGCACTCCAAGGGGGATCTGCTAGGGATCGCTCAGCTGCCACAGGCTAAGACTCTCAGTCATACGCACACACACGCTGGGAAATGCTAAGAAACGATATGCGCATATGATGATATCCGCAGTAAATAAATGGTATTATGTTTTTTAATTCTTCTGGCCCACCGTTTTTTTCACGTGGAGGTCCCATATGGGAATACCATTACCTGGTGCTTCCCGCTGTGTGCGTTTGCGTGTGTGTGTGTGTATGTGTGTGGGGGTGTCTCTGGCTCTGCGCGCCTGGCTGCTGCTGCCCCCCGGCTGCTCATCGTCGAACTCTTCGGCGTCTGAGCGTTCCTTCTTCGTCTCGGCCGTCCCCCGTTGCCTCTTTGCTTGCCGATCAATTCGCTAGTTAGTGCCCCTATCTAGCTTCTCGCTGGAGCGGCTTAGCCTGTGGCGACTGAGCCCTCCCTTGAGGCTTACCCTTGGAGTGCCAACATGCGATGCATGTGACATTGGGGCTCTGACAGGGTTCAGGCGATCGCAAACATGGATCAAGGGGGCGTGGATTAGCGACGGGTCCCGCTTCCATGGGAAATATCAGATGTCCGCCGCCGAGCGAGGCGGCGCCGGCCGCACTTTGGGGAGGGCACCTCCCGCGATCCATGGATTGCGAAGGCCTTACGGCCGGGGCCGCCGACCCTGAAAACGACGAAGATGAAAACGAGGGTGAGGAGGAGCAGAGGAGGAGGAGGAGGAGGAGGAGGAGGAGGAGGAGGAGGAGGAGGAGGAGGAGGAGGAGGTGGGAGGAGGAGGAGCAGGAGGAGGGAAGGACAGATGAGGAGGAGGAGGAGGAGGAGGAGGAGGAGGAGGAGGAGGAGGAGGAGGAGGAGGAGGAGGATGAGGAGAGGGAGGAGGGGAGGAGGAGGAGGAGGAGGAGGAGGAGGAGGAGAGGAGGAGGAGTGAGGAGGAGGAGGGAGGAGGAGGAGGAGGAGGAGGAGGAACAGGAGGAGCAGGAAGAGGGGGAGGAGGACAGGAGGAGGAGGAGGAGGAGGAGGAGCAGGAGGGGGAGGAGGGGGTGGAGGACAGGAGGAGGAGGAGGAGGAGGAGGAGGAGGAGGAGGAGGCCCCCGGGGCGGAGTCGTATCTGACCCCCCCCATCCCCCCCGGGACCCCCCTCCCTACGGGGGAGGGATCAAAGGGAAGGGGGTGCCCTTTGACGTGGTTACGACGTGGGTCGATTTCCCTCAAGGCCGCTAGAGCACTGCGACGACGACGACGACGAGGACGAACAACCCCTCACAGACGCCGACACAGGGTCGGCGGATTTGGCGACCGCGCGCCAGATCCATGGATCGCTAATCCATGCTTGCGCGCCCCCGATCTTGCGGCTCTGACAGGATAGGAATCGGGGGTGCTCAAACCAGGGTTTCGCATGAGATATCCCCACGATCTGGGCGCGAACGGTCAAGTGTAGCGCTTCTTGTCGGCTCCTTCTTGGGGTGCTCAAGTGCTCGGGTGCTGATTATTCCTGTTACATCGTGGTGGTAATCGGGCTTTGAAAAGGGGGGGGGCCAGGGACGCCAGACGAGCGTTTCGTTTGTTTGAGACCTTCCGCGATCTTGGCGCGAATGGGCAAGTGCACCTTTTGCCGGCTCCCCCAAGAGGCGCTCAATTGTTATGCCTACTACATCGCGGTAATCGTGGGGCTTTGAAGACAAAATCGGTCGTGGATGCGAATCGAGCGTCTCGCTCGAGACATATCCCAAATCGTGGCGCGAACGGGCAAGTGTAACACCCCGTGACGGCTCCCCGTTGGAGAGTTTGAATGCGATGTCTGCTACATTGAGGTGATCATGTGATCAGGAAAGGAGAGGAGTCGGGGGCGCCACTCGAGCACCTCGCTTGATACATCCCCACGATCTGGGCGCGAACGGGTGACTGTAACCCCCTCTGGCGGCTTTTTTTGGTGCTCAAGTGCTATGCCCCCAGCCCGGCCCCAGTCCCCCGTGCCCCGTTCTGATCCCGTTCATCTTCTTATTTCTCCTCCTCCTCCTCGTCCTCCTCCTCTTTCTCTTTCTGCTCCTCGTCCTCCGTCCTCTCTTCATCTTCTCCTCCTCTTCCTCCTCTCCCCTTCTCCCTTCCCGCTCCCGCCCTCCTCCTCCTCCTCCTCGTTTCCTTGGAGAGGCGGAAGCGGAGGATGAGGAGGCGGCGATTGAGGAGGAGATTGAGGAGAAGGCGGAGACGGAGTGACCATGATTCCTGTAGGACTTTGTTCCGCTCCTGGCCAACTACTTCAACCTGACGCTGTCTTCGCAGGTTGCCCACGACAACGAGGCGGCGTGAATCGCATGAGCTGTTTCAAGAGGATTCGAGACTATAAGAGGAGTGGAGGTAATCTAGGGGGGTGGAGAAGAACAATTGTGAGGTGGATAGAACGGTGAGTAAGGAATAGGCCATGAATCTGATCCGGGAGGGGGGTAGGAATTTAGGCGGGGGGAGGACAGGAGGCGGGATGAGAACTCGTCGGATGATGTTGATGCTGACGGTGACGATGATTATGGTGTTGATGGTTGACGATGCGCATGCTGATGACGACGATGGTGATGACGGCGACGTTGACGAGTACATACGCTGATGACGATGTTGGTAGTGATGTTGTTGTTGATGATGATGCTGGCAATGACGATGATGACGATGACGATGACATGCGATCGTATTGCTGCTGCTGCTTACGACGACGACGATGACAATGACGATGACGCTGGTAATGACGATGACGATGATGACGATGACGATGACGATTATTATTATTATTATGATTCGTATCATTATTCTTCTTATTATTATTATTGTTATTGATGATGATGATGATGATGATGATGATGATGATGATGATGATGAGGGCGCTTATGCTGATGATGCTGTCACTGATAATGGCGATGACG